CTTCATCTCATATAAACTAGACACACAACCTACAAACCACACTATCCCTCCAGCAATTCTCCTTAAATTTAAGTTCTGTGATCCAGCTTTCTTCATATCTTTTATCAACAACAAACAAAGCAAGCCAACGCACCAAATAGAATTCGATGAACTCTTTAGAAATGCAATTAACAGATAGAAGATGCACCATAAGATAACCTTGACAAACAGACAAACTCGAGACCAAATTCAACTTAAACTATGACAAAAACTAATTGTTGAGTATCTCACAAATCTAAACTTCCAACAGTTAATGCCAGGACAAGCAACACAGGTGATTAAATATTGCAGAAACTTCATTAAAGCATCATGAATCGAAGATATACAACAAGTACAAAATGCAATTTATCAGGCATACGCAGTGAAAAAACAAGACTTACCAGACTCGCCTAAAGAAATAGACGCAGAAATAATAGAACTACTACCCTTTGACTTGCCAATCAAAAAAAAATCGCTAACAAAAGCAGCGGCAACTGCCTTACATATACTGTTCAACTTCACAACCCTACCAGATACTTACTTCACAGCCTTACCACAGCTACCTTCAAATGTAGCAGATATAAAAAAAGGATTAAAGAAATACTTTCCAATTACTGCACCAAAGCAACTAGCAAACTTAAGCTATCTAAGAAATAAACTGGCAGACTATTACACTTTCTCAAGAATACCCTCATTATACTTCAATCTACCACCTGAAAAAGAACTGCTACCAACAACCTATCATCAATTGAACAGCTACATGCATATACTGTTCCCATTTGATCCAGAAAATAGTTGCATGACAATACAACAAGTAGCAGACTTGCTGCACGAGCACTACAGATTTAGAACAATTCCAAATGATTACTTCAAACAAAAATCACTACTACCAAAACAACCTAAGGACATAAAACCATCTTTACATACATATATCCTATAACAGAAGACAAACAAACAAAGAAATTCCTAGCAGATATGAAGAAAAAATACAAAGTAACCTTCCCAATTAACTTAGAAATTATGACAGCTAATCCTACAGATAAGCCATGACTACCAAAAGATCCTGAACAAATTAAACAGTTTAATATCACGATACCTATAACTACACCAAGACAACTAGTAGATACAGCATGACTACTACGACAAGAATACTATTTCTCAAAAATACCAACTAGTTGGATCAATATAATACAAAACACAACAACAGAACCAACTGTTCCAAAATCAGAAATACCACAATCACTTGTAAAACTTCAGGAAGCACTGAAAACCATCACTGATGAAATTTATATTACGATTCCTATTGAAAAACAAGCAGACGTAACACTAATCTTTGAAGTACTAAGACAACACTTCACCATATCGATAATTTCAAAATACCTACTCAAACTACTTTCACTTCCAGAACCAACCTGGGATATCTTTGCTTAATATTCTGGATCAATATACTCAAAACAAATACACCAACAACAATATAACAACAATTACTGAACTAAACATTGCAACACACAATGTACAAGGGTTAAACAATAGAATGAAACTACAAATCTGGCTCGAGTTCTGCTACAAAGCACACTTCCACATCATCAGTATGACAGAAACAAAAATCGCAGAATCATCTTACTCTGAACTTACACTATCTAACCCATATTACAAGATATATACAGCAAACAGCACAATGGCTACAGCTAACAAACAAGAGGCAAGTATGGGGACAGCAATAGCAATCAACAATTATCTACAACCATATATACACAATATCTTAACTTATCCTGGAACAGCAATTGTGATCAACTTCCACTTCCCGAACAAGAACCAAATCCATATGGTCTCAGTTTACTTACCAACAAACAATAAACAACTAAACTTAAGCATACAAAACGCAGTAGCAAACTAGATAAAGGAAGCAACAAACAAAGATTACAACACAATAGTACTAAGCGATTTCAACTATGATTATACAAAACAGCGCAAAAAGAGCCCACAGATATTCCAGACAATGAAACAGAATGGTCTAGAAAGTGCTATACAACACTTCAACATAACAGAGCCAACCTGAAAAAGACAAGATAGATACAGCCAAATAGATGATATATGGTTACCAACATCAATACTATACCAATGTTCAAAGATACAACTTATATTACCTGACGAAATTACAAACAGTGATTACTAAATACTTAAAATAACTTGGCAAACCAACCCAACACTCAAGATACAAAGAAGAAATAAATGAAAACATTGGATATACAAATATAACGAAATGACCAATAACTCATGGGAAAACTTTGCACAAGATGTATTAACTAAACTCAACAATATGAAGATTGCAACAATGATTACAAATATACAGGAGCTGAATAAGATATGGAATCAACTATGCACAACAGTAACAACAGCGGCAAAAAAGAATATACCAAGAACAAAAGTCAGACCAAAGACCTACTATGCATTCTCGGCAAAAGCTACAAAACTACACAGTGCACTAACAGAAATTAACAAAACACTCGAAATCTAAAAAACAATAAAGAGGACACGACAAATATAGAAGACATAAACAAAAGTATACAGAAAATCAACAAATTAGCAGCAACAGAAATTCCAACAATTAATGAGAAAATAACAAAGCAACAATATAACCAAATGTATAAGCAAATCAAATCATATCAAAAAACGATACACACAGCAAGGCAAATTGAAAATAATGCAAATTATAGAGAGCAGATTAACCAACATATCAATAACAGGTATAACAACTTCCAAGCAAACACAACAAAAATGATAAACAGCATTCTAAACCGATATACATACCTGGTACACTTTGAAAATATAAAAGAAGACGATAAGCTACATACAAAATCAAAAAAATAAAGCAGAAAATACAGCAACACTTCGAAATGTGGACCAAACACAACAATTCTAATACACTAATGTGGAAGACATAGCAAAAAGAATACCAGCCCCTACAGCACATACAACCTAGTTGGTATGATAAACTGACCCAAACTATAACACTAAAAGAACTTGAGCTAATAATTAATGAAGCATCTACAAATAAGGCTTTTGGACCTCAACAACTAAGCAACGAAATATTAAAACATTTAAACAATGACACGCTGCTAGTACTATTAAAGATATTCAATGCATGTCTTATACTACAAACTATATCAAAAATGTAAAAACAGAGCACAGTCTACCCCATATCAAAAAAACCCAAATTCAATAGGCAGCTTAGTCAAACAAGACCTATTACGTTAATAGAACACACTAGAAAAATTTTTACTAAAATACTAACAAGAAGAATAAGCATGATTTGTATACAATATCCAATATTAAATACCAACAACTATGTAGCACTGCCAAATACATCAACAATGATACCTATTCAAACACTTTTACACATAATAGAAGACACTCATACAAACAAAGAACAACTGTGGTTACTATCACAAGATATGTCAAAAGCGTACGATTTGGTGCACATACCATTGCTTAAAATGGCATTACAAAGACTAAAAATACTTAACAGCATCATAGCACTGATTACAGAAATATTTACAGACAGATCAAACCATGTAATTACAAACTTAGGGAATACAAGCAAATACCCAGTACACGACAGAATAGATCAAGAGGAGACGATAGCACCACTTTTATGAAGGATCTACTATGATTCTCTAATAACAAGAATATCAAAGCAATATACCAGTTACAAACTCAAGTCATATACTAATATTGAAGCAACTGACAATTCAAAGATCCAACCAAAGTACTCAGTACTGGCATATATAGATGACACCTTGTGGATCGCATCAACAAAAGAGCAATTACAAGACATTGTAAATACTGCAACGACTTTCTACCAGTTAACAAACATTTAGATAAATCCAACAAAATCAGTACTCGCAGTCATAACAAAATCACCAAGCCCAGAAATAAAATTTAACAACACGACGATAAAGGCAATAGACACAAAAGCAAGCTTCAGATTTCTTGGCTGTTGGTATACAACTAGCAAAAAACACACACCAATACACAAAATTATAAAAGAAGAGGTGACAAATATACTAAAATATGTAGATGAGATGAGCCAGAATTACTAACAAACAAGCCATATATATAGTCAATACAGTAATTCTCACAAGAATTGCCTACTAAATACAAAACACTACCTTAGCACTCTCAACATGCAAACAAATCACAAACAGTTATACAAACATGATAAAACACAAAGCAGGCCTGGCATCTAGCATACCAAACTCAACAATGCATCATCACAAAATATATAGTCTTAAAATGGTAGAAGACATACAGACTCAACAATACATATCAATAATGAGTTATTTACTTAATCACTCTCTCTTCTATACATCTTTCCTCAAAATAAGATTGCAACAACTACAAAATGCTGTAGCAACAAATGAGTCTATCTTGTCAACCAACATAATCATACCAAATACACAAGGCAATACAACAACTGCAAAGATAATCTAAATATGCCAACAAAACCAAATTGCTTTCAGTAGCAACAATAACTCTTGGCCAAAGCCTCACTCACAACAAGGCACATCAATTAATAATATCTTAAACAACATGTTAGCTACAAGCATTATAAAAAACAAGCTAAATAATCTAAACCTCTACTATATTGAACAACTACTAAAACATGACATGACACAAACCAGGACATGGCAGGCTCTTCCACATACAATAAAGAGAATACCAAGAAGCAGACAACCAAAATGATACAACGAGCTAATAATAGAAACAAACCATTGGCTAGAAACCAAACTCATTCATAATGCACAATAAAACACCAAGAAAAAAGAAATGGATTATATACAAAAACAAAATAATAGGCAAAGTAAGCAGACTAACCTCAACATATATAGACATCAAACACTAGATCTACAACGGATATGAGCAATTACAAAAATGCAAAGGATGCAACCATAAAGACAGAACAAAACTAAAACAGAAAAATGCACAATAAGAATAAAACTACCAGCAGAAACAAATATTATACAAGTCGATTACAAAAACAAATTAAGAAGCAATTACGAAGACCTAATGTACGAATACATCAAGCAAACAAGCAACAAAAAGATAACAACACCTATACCAACTACCAAACTACTAAGAACAAACCTAAACAATATCGACAAAGCACTTTTAGATACAGAAACAAAACTTACAATATCGAATATTCACAAGCAAATGAGCAGCCAACAACTAAAGAATATCAATATAGTATTAAGCATACAAACTGATATAATCAGGAATATATTAAAGACAACAGCACACTGGTGGACAAGAAACAAAGAAATATAATTTTATCAAACGACAAGTACCTGGCCATCTGACCAAAAAATATTATGTAATACACTATCTTGTATATTATTAGCAGTACCTTACGGAGCAAAGATAAACATACTGTGCAATTACAAACACGCAACAAGCATAGCAAGCATAATAAATAATATACTAACCTACAACATAACTCAACTGCTACGAACAAATAATAGAAGTGGTTGATTAATATTCAAAGCACTAGCAGCAAGAAAAAACATTCTATGGGCAATACAATACGACCAATACTTTAGAAAAACTGAAAACAAATACAAGTCTGCACCAAACTGAAATTATATATACAAATATAAGGAATGATATATTTACAATAAGCTGGAAAGGAAAAACGATCGAACATTCACCAAGAAG